CCCTCGCCCGAGGAGTCGAGTGGGTGCTCTGTGTCGAGAGCGAAGCCCTAGCGGCGTTCCGAGGGGTGCTCGTGAGCGGCTGTGTAAGCGTAGGCATAAGAAGCGGCGGCATTTCTCAACCCAAAGGGGTATGGGGACGGTGCCGTCTCCAGATTCTGCCCCGCCGGGGTCGGCTCTTCAGGGAGTGGGTAGAGCGGAGCTAGACGACTGGCATCGCCTGGCGTGCCATAGGCAAGTCTCCTTTGTCCAAGCTCAGCTAGATGTGTCCTGACCCGGGGACCCCTGTGCCAACAAATGGTCGAGGATATTGGCGGGGGTGGCGTGTCGCCCGGATTCGCGAAGCGTCGGGTGGCCTTTGTTCGTGCTGTGCTTGGCGAAAGCGTGGCGAGAGCGGCCGCCGGACGCCGCCAGCGCTACTGCTCCGCCGGGCGTAACTTCATCGTTGGTTGGTGGGGCTCGAGGAGTGAGGAGCACCATGTCGCACTTCATGCCCTAGAGACATGAACTCTAGGCTCCAACCAAACCACGGTGCCGAGACGCAATGGTCGACGTGATCCGCCATCCGGAACTCGGCTTTGGGATGACGAAACCAACACGCAGCTGCCCCTACCGGCGGCGCGCGCTTAACTGCCGGTGTTTGGACCGGGGGTCCTCAACCAACCAATGAATTTGTTCTGCGTGCTCCCGATCCGGATGGTGATGCAAAGAGACACAAGGTTTATCTTTGGTTCAGCAATCGAGGCCCCACGCCCGGCCCGAGAGATCGATCTTGTATTCCTTGCACCGAGGTGCTCGTAGTAGGGGGTTACAAGCTAAAGGAGAGAAGGAGCTGGTCCTAGGTCTCGGTAGGGTGTCGTGCGGGCCGCTTGAGACGTTACTCTCAAGTGGCGGGAGTGTGCGTGTGTGTGTGTGTGTGTGTGTTACAAGGTGTCCCTCCCCGCCTCTTAAAACAACCCAGTCCTCTCCTTTTATAGCATGAAGGGAGGACTAGGGCGGTACATGAGCTGACTATACGGCGTCGTGTGAACAGAGGCGGCGTGTCCGGGCCCTGTAGCCTGTTCCTGTGGCGGTGTGGCCATCGGAGTGGTCCGTCCTTGAGCACTGGGCGACGTGGCCGCCCTATCGATCTGTGGCGCTGTGGGAGCCCCGGACGTGCAAAGCCACCTGTGGACGGATCAATGCAGGCGAGGCCGAGACTAGGTCGGTGTCGAGGTCGCACCATGGTGGAGGGTCTCGTGAGCACGATCCCCAAGATGGCCGAGACCTAGGGTGTGCGGTGCCGAGGCCTCGAGTGGGCGGTGATCGTGGGTATGATATTAGGACACACGATGGCCGATAATTCCCGCCGCACTGTCCCGGCCGGTATGGCGCAGATCGTGGATACTGACGTTAGGACAAGTGGCGGTAATCCCGCGTACTCTGCCCAAATGCAGAGGATACTGATGCGACCTTTTTGGGTCGCGCCGGCCATTCTCAGGGCGTTGAGCCGTCGTCTACCATTTGAGATTGTGGGAGTGGTTGAAGCATTAATGGGACATGACACGTTGTCCGGAGGGTCGGTCGAGGCGGGGTGACGGGCTGCGGGCGACCCGGCCTCGAGCGATTTCTGAGGCCGGGCCTCGCGAGACGGAGATCGGGTTCCTTGCCGAGGCCTTGCGAGACGCCTCGCGCGATACGGAGAATGTACCTCTGTCGAGGCCTTCCCTGGAGAGCCTCGGGCGAGACGGAGACGGCGCCCCCTGCCGAGGCTCGGTGCCCCCTGCCGAGGCCTACCCTGGGGAGCCTCGCGCGAGGCGGAGTTTGTTCCGAGACCTCCTGCTTGAGGTTCGAGGCGAGGTGGAGGAGGGCTCGATCGTGGCAGGTGAGAGGCCCACGGCTTACCTTCTAGCTTTATTTTGATGTTTGCTTAGGGTATCCTGTTCTAAGGTACCCGACAACTACTACTCCTGTGCTGCTGCAGCAGCAGCATACCTGATGTATGATTGATGTACTCTGCGAGCTAGCTACCTGCTGCAGCTAGCTGTTTGCCTGCTTAATTGACTGGATGAATGAAAATCTTGCTTGAATGTAGTACTATATAATAATACATATATATTAATTAGCAGCAGCATGCGGTAGTTGATTCGTGCACTTTGCATGCATGCATGCCTCTGTATGTTTGACTTGACAAATTAGCCATGATAAAAATTCCATTTCATTTATCTCTCCGTCTGCTTGATCCGGCTCGGTCAGCTTATGTATTGTTCATCATATCAAAAGTGCTGGGACAGTTGCTGCAGCCGCTGCACCTTCTGCACACAGCCACTAGCTCCATGATCGATGCAGTACGTAGTGCTAGCTAGCTCAATTTTAGTTTTCTCCCAAAACAAAACAAAACATAACGTAGTAGCACGTAATAAGTAAGTGAAAAAACCAAACCAAAACAAAACAAAAAAAATCACGGCCAGGCAGACAGCCAACTAACCATCTCCATTTGGCACTTGGTGGCAGGTGGGGTTACGTCGATGGAGTCGTTCCTGAGAAAGTTCTTCCCGGACGTGTACCACCAGATGAAAGGAGACAAGGACGTCAGCAACTACTGCCGCTTCGACAGCGAGCTCCTCACCGTCTTCACCTCCTCCCTCTACGTCGCCGGCCTCGTCGCCACGCTCTTCGCCTCCTCCGTCACCAGGAGGTTCGGCCGCCGCACCTCCATACTCATCGGCGGCACCGTCTTCGTCCTCGGCTCCGTCTTCGGCGGGGCAGCCGTCAACGTACACATGCTCCTCCTCAACAGGATCCTCCTTGGCATAGGCCTCGGCTTCACCAACCAGGTATATATGTCCTTGTCAAGATTATTGCATGATCCAAGTATATTATGTGGAGTATATAATTAATCTCTCAATGCAAGTCAAAGTCAAGAGATGCATGAGTAGCAGTGTCCTTTTCATGGAATGGGGCACATCACTAGCTACCACCGAATTGAAAACGCGCTCCATCCATGCACTAAGTCAAGGTTCAACTCTTCATGCATGTGGTCCGAGTGAATTAATGATTTGGTACACACACACAAAAAAAGTAGTTATTTCAATTTGTATATATACCAGGGAAAAAAATATTTCGATTATTCCTACAGCCATATAGATGGATCCTGGCACTATGCTTGCTTTTTTTTTTTTAAAAAAAAAGATTCTTTTGCATGCAGTCAATAATAACAACTCACTTACTCCTAATTCAAGTTGCACGCCTGGCATGCATGCAGTCAATTCCACTGTACCTATCAGAGATGGCGCCACCGCAGTACCGTGGGGCAATCAACAACGGCTTTGAGCTCTGCATCAGCATCGGCATCCTCATCGCGAACCTCATCAACTACGGCGTGGAGAAGATCACCGGAGGATGGGGCTGGAGGCTCTCTCTGTCCCTGGCCGCCGTGCCGGCCGCGTTCCTCACCGTCGGCGCGATCTTCCTGCCCGAGACGCCCAGCTTCATAATCCAACGCGGCGGCGGCGGCGTGGGCGGCAACATCGACGAGGCAAGGCTGCTGCTCCAGAGGCTGCGTGGCACCACCAGGGTCCAGAAAGAGCTCGACGATCTCGTGTCCGCGGCTAGCGAGGCGTCCAGGACGACGATGACACGGCGCCCGTTCCGGAACATACTGAGGAGCAAGTACAGGCCGCAGCTGGTGATAGCGCTGCTGGTGCCCTTCTTCAACCAGGTGACCGGCATCAACGTCATCAACTTCTACGCGCCGGTCATGTTCCGGACCATCGGGCTCAAGGAGAGCGCGTCGCTCATGTCGGCGGTGGTCACGCGCGTCTGCGCCACGGCCGCCAACGTGGTGGCCATGGTGGTCGTGGACAGGTTCGGGCGCCGGAAGCTCTTCCTGGTGGGCGGCGTCCAGATGATCCTGTCGCAGGTCATGGTCGGCGCGGTGCTGGCCGCCAAGTTCAAGGACCACGGAGGGATGGACAAGGAGTACGCGTACCTGGTCCTGGTCATCATGTGCGTCTTCGTCGCGGGCTTCGCCTGGTCCTGGGGCCCTCTCACGTACCTGGTGCCCACCGAGATCTGCCCGCTGGAGATCAGGTCGGCGGGGCAGAGCATCGTCATCGCCGTCATCTTCTTGGTCACATTCCTCATCGGCCAGACCTTCCTGGCGATGCTGTGCCACCTCAAGTTCGGGACCTTCTTCCTCTTCGGCGGATGGGTGTGCGTCATGACGCTCTTCGTGTATTTGTTCCTGCCGGAGACGAAGCAGCTGCCGATGGAGCAGATGGAGCAGGTCTGGAGGAGCCACTGGTTTTGGAAAAGGATTGTAGACGCAGATGCAGGGGAGGAAGAAGAGCAAGGCCAAAGGAGACCCAGGAGAGGAGAGGCAGCGGCAGCAGCAGGAACCATAGCTCTGTCCGCCACATAGATCGACATCACTAGTCATCAGTCACCAACATTGTTTTGCATTGCATACACATGCATACATTGTTAATTAAGCTACTAGGTGATCTGATCTAGTATACATACACATGCATACATACATTATACGTATTTGGGGAAACCCGCGCGCGCCTGCAGAAAAATCATATAGCTAGCTAGGCGCATATGGTACACCACTTTGATTACACACACTAGTATATATAATATATATACTCTAGTACGTAAATAATAATTAAATGCAAATATAATGGGCTTGCAAAGTACTAGCTGCACAAATTGTTTGTATCCTAAGGAGCAACTTAGCAACTGCATTTCAATAAGCTAGTTTATTTGATGCATGCATTCTGTAATGTAATAACCTATATATCCATGAAGAATTAAAGGGCCTTCCAGCAGAACTACGAATGAATTAATCTTTGAGAGTGGCACTATATGATATACATCTTACAACCCGTTTTTCATTCTTCTTTTTCTCTCTTTTGGCAAAACAATCGAGCATATATATCTGTGTACGTTTGGAAATACAAGGGGCGCCAATGAATGTAAGATGTAACAGGAAGGAGTATATATATAAATATTATATCATGTCATGTGTAGCCCTGCCTGTAGCGGCGAAAGAGTTCGTCGGTCTTGGCCGTGCGGAACGCGTAGCAGCCCATGGCGTAGACAGCGAGGAGGAGGACAGCGGCGACGGCGAGGATGAGGTCGGCGCGGCGCCACTCCCTGCGGAGGTTCTGCAGCAGGCCGGCCTTGCAGGAGGCGCACGAGTAGCAGAACTTGTCCTCCTCGTTGCTCCAGGCGGCGCAGTCGGGGTCGGCGGTGGCGCTGATGGGGCTGATCCAGTACGTCGGGGTCACAAAGGTGTAGCCGCAGCTCGTCGGAGGCTTGCAGCACCCCGACTGCAGAGGGGTCATCCTGTTCGGGGCCGCCGTGAACAGGTCCTGCGCGTTGGCGTACGTCCCGTTGAAGTCGGAGCAGGTGGGCGTGGCGGCCAGGCAGGCCTTGATCCGGTCCCAGCGTCCCGGCGCGTCCAGGCGGGCGCGCAGCCAGCCCGAGTAGTCGTCCAGGTCGTACTCGAGGAACTCCCGGCTCGGCACCCGGTGGCCCGACGAGCCTGTGGTCACCGCGAAGACGAAGACGGCGAGGCAGGCCAGCGCCACGACGACGACAAACATGGCCACGAGGTCGGCGAGGAGGAGCCACGGCAGGCGCCAGAAGGCGGCCACGAAGCCCGCGAGGCCGACCGCGAGGACAGCCACGCCGAGGGCAATCACTGGCCACTAGAGGATCTGGACGCAGGCGTTGTCGGCCTGCGTCGACAGCCAAATGCCGGCGGCGATCACGGGGATGGACAACAGCGCGGCCACGACGTTGATGGCGGCGACGTCCATGTAGTTGAGCGCCATGGCATACGACGACGCCGGTTAATCTGTGATGTTGGCAACCTATCCTGGCTACGAATACGACGATGAATGAATTACTCCCTCCTATTTTAGCCGTTGCGCTTTGCAACAGCACATATGCTCGCTCTGCATTCCCTCCCTTTACACCTTTATTTATGCCTTGCTTCCTCTGCAATTCATTCCCTCCCCAACCGACTACACAAAGCCAGCAGCATTGCCAGATATTGTACATAGATAAATTCTCACTCACAATGTACAAAGTGTGGCCAGCCAGCCTCCTTTGCGGACGGTACCAACACATACATCAATCACCCTGTACTGTACATACAGGACCTATACATGCCGTTGCCGTGTGGTAACACTTGTTCACCACGCCATAAATCGACCAAATAGAGCATAACAATCAAGCTTCACAGCAACCCACTGTTGGAAACCACAACGCTCACCCCAAGTCCATCAAATCAGAACACACACACCTACAGAAAGGACCCTTATGCATCATACGATTAATCACGACGACGATGGCGAATCAAGCACAGCACCATCACCCTCCATCAGCCCCAGCGCAGCGTGCCAAGTGGCACCTAGCAAATCAGAAAGGCTCCACCGGAGGAGGGTCTTCACCGATGCTTTGCTTGTCAGGTAAGGCACAATATACTTCTTCATGTCACCTTTGGAGATGCTGAGGTGACCTCCCGCCACAGACACAAACTTCACCCGCCCTGCTTCATCCAGTGTCTTCAAACCGATCCAGTCTTCCTCATACAGCTTCGTCTGCACACACGCACAGCTAGCCATTGTAAGCAGAGCACACATGGAGATCCAAATCACGTGCATGAAAGAATTCTACCTTCTGAGGTGGTAGAACAGGATCAAAGGCTCCATCAGGGTAGTAACCAAACCATGCTGTTTCTCGAGGTATCAGGACTGCATCATCCTGAAACTGCAAATAACATACATACATTCGGCCACATTCAAGATAGGTCAAAAGAATTGAAGTATAATAGATATTATTATGGCGTAAAACAATATCATCCTTTTGCGCTATGTTGCATTGTACTTTTATCTTGAAGCAGGGAATAAAGCAAGTAAGTTACATGCTACCCTAGCTACAGGAGACAGGGCAATGCTACTCCTGCAATTTGATCAGAATCAATTTTGGTTTTGGACAATGTCAAGCTTACCATGATCAGAACCAAATTCTCTAAGCTGCTAAACCTTTCCTTGTAGGTATCATTTCTTTTATCTGGAATTTCATTGTTAAGTTTTGGAAGAAACCTGCAACTCTTCAGATAATCTGCCATATCCTGATAAATACTTTTAGTTAGACAAACTTCGTTCACCAGAAACATTTTCATATACTATGAAACTATATTACATGACAAATTGAATGGAACTAATTTGTATTCATAAATATCGATACATTTTTCTATAAATTTGGTCAAACTTACAAAAGTTTGACTTTGACTAATAAACCTATAAGGTCTTTCATTTTTGGGCGGAGCGTGCAGTTACAAAATCTCAAGCTAGTCAATTATTCAAGAAAATGGCCAGACTAGTTATTCAGCACTATGAAGCTAGCTATCTGAAGCCTTTGTAAGCATCATCAATGGTGCATTGCAACTGATTAGTAAAACACCAGGTTATCCTCAAGTCACCTCTACCATTAAGAACAACTTAAACAGTTTGGCCTATAAATGTGCTTACTCAGCCCTGTGAAGTATGCAGTACCAGTAGACTGACCAGTACAATAAACAACTCAAAAGTACATCCATAAGAGTAATAGAGTAGCATGTCAACCAAACAACATAAAAGGTGCATTCCTCGTTATACTCACAGTTGGGATTTTGAGGTAGCCACTAGGTGCAAGATGTTCCTGTAATTCACCATGCCTCAAGTTATCCCACATTTAAAAAAAAAGGTGCTCACCATGACCAAGTTTGATGAAAGACAATGCATACAAACCTGCACATAGTCTGAGTAGATCTCCAATTTGATCAGAGCGTCAACAAGAATGCACAAAATACCAGACTGCATAATATACAGATGTCAACTGAATCATATGAGCTTCCATATAATATGTAGATGTTAAAAGACAAGTACATTTAAATAATAATGGCGTTAGTCTCAGCCAGTATATTTTCTTTGATTTGTACTACGTGTATAAGTCATCGAACAAATCCATGAAAGAGTATTCAACCATCGATTATTACACAAATTTATCACTATATCATTGAATTATTAGCCAAACTTGACATAAAAAAACACATAATGATCGGAGATAATGACTTAATCAGATTAACTTACACCACAAAGCGGCACAGAAGCGGTACCAGCATGAGGACCTCCAAGAGAGATGAAGTTCTTGACCTGGTGCCAGGTACGATCCGGATCATAACTTATTGCACAGAAAACTGGTAGCAATTAAAGTGCATACAAGACAGGCTAACAACCATCCCAGCTGGGCAGCTGGCCAAGGTTACATATTGGGTTGGTAGAGGCCAAATGAATAGAATTTGAGCTGCGTTAATTTTATTACTATTTTGCTATTCCTAATTTAGGAAAACTCACCGGCGGTCCATCATCACAATACTCAACTACTGCTCGACCAATCAAGTTTCCCTGTGAGGACACAAAGATGAGGCAGGGTTTTAGTATAGTATAGCTACACCAAGTACAGAACAAATTAAAGAAAAAAGTAATGAATGATTAGCTACTAAATCATCCCTCCTCCCTCCCTCTTCGGTGACAGAGGAAGTATCTCAAAGAGTAATAATCTGAACCAGTTTATGTTACTGTAATATGTACAAGAAAATGAAACATAGCAGAATGAAGGTAGTGCACACTATACTATTAAAGTGCCTACAAGAATGAAAAAGCAGCCCGCATTTTCAAGACTATGAAGCAAAGGACAACAGGATATAATAGTAGAGGATAAATGAGATAGCTTGGGTATTTAAAGGAAGGCAAGGTCAAAGACCGTGAACAAGACAGCAGCACATGAGCATACCTGAGACAGACCAACTATGTTGTAGCCATCTCTCAGTTGTTTCATTTCCTTGACCTGAGGGGAAAAATCAAAAGTGGCAGTGACGATGAATACTAGTTTTTAACAACTCATCAAACAGTGCAAGATGGCATCATCGGTTGGGGTAGTGACCTTGTTGCAGATGATATCAGCCTGCGGACATGGTCAAATGTGTTACTGAACATATGAACATTTAATTTATAACAAGAGGAAGGAAAAGAATTTAGAGAGGAATAAGACCTGTTGTTGAAGAGGCATGACCCAAGAGTCCAATGTTCCTCTGCCGATCTCTCTGGGGAAAGCAAAGCAGTTATTATTCAATTTAGTAAGTTTGAAGAAGCATGACCTAAGAGCAAGAATGGTAGTCAGGACTCAGGACGCCAATTGGGATGAGGAGATAGAGTTGGCGAGCAATAGCAATAGTACAGTACAGGCAGTGGCCGTCGGAGCCGGACCAATCGGCGAGAAGTTTAGTGAACTTGGCGACGCCATGGTTGGCGCACTGGTCCCCAATCCCTGCCACGATTCCAGTTGCAATCCATCAGCAGGATGGATAGAATCATAAATAATACCCAGCTTGTTGCTGCAGAGGAGAGGAGAGGAGAGGAGAACTCTACCGTGCAGGACGATGAAGGGCAGGGAGGAGGTCTGCACCGCCGCAGCTAGGAGGGGAATGAAGACGAGGGCGGCGGCAGCTGTTCTCCGCATCACGTTTCTTCACGGGGAGAGGAGAAGCGAGACGAGGTCGGATTCCGGCGGCCGGGGTCCGATTCTGGCAAGGACTTCCCCTCTTTCCTTGACGAGCAAGAACCAGAAGCAACGGAACGCTCCTCGAACGCCGCCGAGGCCCAGAGAGAAGGCGACGAGGGATGGAGAAAGAGACGAGGGAAGGTAGGTGGGCCCACATGTCAGTAACCCATCATCAAGCTGTGCTTAAGAGTCTAAGACCGTGATCTTTTTTTGTAATAGTAGCAAATTTGCTCGTAGGTTGGAACGGGAGAAACATATTATAAATGCTTGACATGTTTGCTTCAGCTTGCTGAACAGCTCACTTACACCTGTTAATTGCATAGGTGCTACTTTTGTTGTCGTGAATTGTTGTTATGGAGCTTGTTCGGCTAAGCAACAAGTCGGTTTATTCGGTTTGTTTTTTTAACCGGGACAATATTTTTCTTTCACAACAAACCAATATGAACAGTGTTTCCAGTATGGACAGTGCTTTTTCAGTCCATCCGAACAGCCTCATGATTTCTGGGGCAATCACAAATGAACGCGCACACTAATGTGAAACAAGAACGATGATTTTACATATCTATTCTTTTATCTTTTTTGTAACATTTAAAAGCTATACTTTATCTTATGATAATTATGACATCCCTAATATATATTATTATTGACAATAATATGACATCGTTCTATTAATTCTATCTATATCGAATTGAAATACAATCATGGTAAAAAAAATTCTTCCGTTGTAAGGCACAACAATATTTACTTGTAAATACATCATATCGTTAGTTTCATACTATATATGTGTTGGTAGAGCTAGATATCAAGTTCAACGACTCCTTTTGTGGATCCATAAAAATATCAAATATGTAATTCTAATATCTTAAGTCAGTAAGGGTTAGTTGTTGTCATGTTAAAAGTTTGTTGATGAGTACGACCGAGACCTCTCTTGATTTTTACACGTCAGTCCTCGTTGAGGATTGCACTTGTATACGCAGACAAGAGGTTTGTACTGATATATGTAGATAGTTTGCAGGTACGCTTGTGGTGATTATATATATAGACACGGACGGAGCTACGTGGGGGTCAAACTGGGTCCTAGCCCCCCTTGTTCCGGCTGCACTCTACAGGTTTGCATGTCGCTGCATGTATGTAATTAATTCCTGCATCTTTTGTACCATGCTTGCTGTTGCTGATTAGTGAATCACAGCTTACAAGTATATAAATCTGTAGATTGTTCATTCTTCTTTGACAGAATTTCAATTGTTCATTGCAGTATATATAGATAGAACTTGAAAAAACAAAGATTTTCCACAGAATTCCAATTGTCTGTACTACTATTGGTAAATACTGTAGCAGTGTACCTTTGAATTAGCCCCCCCTACACATTCATGCAAGCTCCGTCGCTGTATATAGATATAGGTATATATTAGATTGGATCACAAACTACTTACGATTTTAGTCCACGCATTGATTAGTTGGACCATCGCCTCATAGTACTAAGTTTTATTCCGAATTAAATTTACATCAACGACTTAGAGCCTATTTGGAACACATGAATTTTATAGGAATTATGAGGATATTTTATAGGAATCACAAGAACAGGGAAAAATTCCTGCGTTCCAAACGGGACCTTAATGATTATTAAATTTACATAATGACTTAGGGCCTATTTGAAACATATAAATTTCACAGGAATTATACAGACATTTCATAAGAATCAGTTTAGGAATAGGGAAAAAATCTCGCGTTCCAAGGCCTTAGCGATCAAAATATTTATTTATTATTAGGAAAGGATTAGAAGTTCAAAGAATCATAATACTATATTTATTATTTTCTATTCTGTATATATATAAGGAAAAAAAACTGGAGACAAAAAAGAAGAAACAAAACAGTCAGACAACTAAACGTGGGAAAGCGGAAGGGGGAAAAGAAAAAAAGAACTCAACAAAGCACACGGAAGGGAACTCTTCACGACGGAAGAAAAAACAGACACGGTGACTCCCACATACGGAACGTCTCCACGAAAAAAAAGACCGGACGCAGGACTTCACCAGCGGGTGGCCGAGACGGAATCGGTGATTAGGTTGGACAAAAAAAATTAGTGCCAGAAATTTTGCATTTTTAGTATTAATTAGGTATATAGATATAATAATATAAAATAAAATACTCCGTCAATTTCTAAAATCATACTGCTACGTAAGGTAAGATCGAGCCAGCCAGCCAACCTATGCTAGATTGATATACAGTACAAATTAATCGTTTCAAACGGCGAGAGGTAATTCTGACCCACAAATACTCCATCTGGAAAACCATTTCAAGCTCTGCCAATTTTTGTACAGCACCGTTACAAAGGGGAGTCAAAATCAAAAGAAGTCACTTGGGATGACTAGCCAAATCCTCTACTCAGACAGTATGGCCCACACTACAAACTTAACTACTACATATTCACCACACACACAACCATGACATGCTGGTTAACTTGGCCTTTGCCACACGATATATCACAACAAAGTATCATCACATTAACACTATACGCTGCTACCTCTACAACAACTGATAACAGCAATATCAATCGACCAATCAATCCTTCATCACCCCGAACTAGCGTGCCACCATGTTTTAACAGTGGATGATGATATGATCAGGCCAAACCCACCCACCCATACCACCATGAGATGTGATCATCAGCACTGGCGAAGCATCTGCCTCTATTTTTGCTATGATGCAACAGAGAGCGGTGGCAGCCAGTTAGACGCTGTCCCTGCCAGGAGTTAATGTCTTGTCCCTTGAAGATACACACAATGTCGCTGTTTGGCGTTCTCAGAAGGAGTAGGTCTAAGTCATCATCATCACTTCCCTCAAGGATCGAAGCATTGGACCCCAAGTCATCATCTTCAGCAATACCAACAAACAAAGACCCATCCAATTTTGAGGAGCAGTGATGGAATTCAGGGCATCATGTGATGCAGAGGAGCCAAGCAATGAGCGTTGAGAACTCATGTTGAGAATGGGAAGATGGATGAAGCATATTGAGACTTTTGTTGACACCTTTAAGATGCGAAAAGGAACTCGTGCAAATGCTAATAAATCTGAAACTTGGAAAATTCTTTCCATTTCCAAGAAAAGATGAGACATATATCAAATAATTTCCTAACAGTTCTATGTTGGCGGGCTACGTAATTTATTTCTTAACAATTCAAGGTTGTTTCAATCTCTTCATTGATATACAAAAGACCACATAAATTTAAGATAATTCGTTTTCATCTTCTTTTAGCTAAATACAGCCACTTATATAACTTCATAGGACTAGTCCATTGGGGAAAGCTAAAATGGTACAGGATTCTGTAAGGTCAAATTTCAACCATGTGAATGTGAAGGTACAAATAGTCAAACCGGGTGTAGGTAGAGTACCAGAAAAATCCGGGTGCGCGTTTACATCTCTGACTGCTGAAACCTTGATGCTGTCAGGCAATACGCAACTGAAGAAGGAACCTGCGATTCCAACAGGATGAAGGCAGAAATAGTTGAGAACGAATCGGCATCATCAAGGAGCAACAGATTGATGATTGTGTAAGGATATGGGACCTAATCTGGCGAGTCGATTCACCCATCCAGGTACTGGCTTCCCGATCAAACGCTTGCAGACATCAGCTGTGAAATGATTGCAGTTCTTGACAATCAGATGATAAGTGTCCCCATGATAATCCTCAGCGAGGTCCTCTATGGAAGTGTGGACTTGGGAGCGGGACCTATGAGTTGTACCCACACACACAGAGCGTCTGAAGATAAAGCCAGGGCAGCTTTTGGGTTCTACTTGGAAGACTCCGCTGGTGGGGTATTCATGAGCTCCAAAGCCATATTCCATGCCACGCACTGTGAAATACAAATTGTCTGAAGTGTCAGATGGTGTATTCCTGCAATCTGCAAACAATTTCGACACTAACAAGAGAAGAAAACCCGGCACACAATGACGGGTTGCGCACAAGTCCTATGACGACAAAGGTGGAATGGAGTAGGAAGCAAAACAAGCATGCCAAGTTGTTGTACTCGTGTAGCTCTATGACACGGCGCAATTGGTTGAACAAATCACTAATCGGTTTGAAAGATATGAAGGGGAGAGAAGGGAGTTTTAGTGGTATATCATGGCTACTGTAAGAACTGTTTATCTGCCGCCGTAGGCGAGAAATGAGGCCAATGGGCAAGGCCTTTTCTAGTAGCTTCTCTATGTGCTTTTGTTGGGAAACGATCATGAAACTAGCATGTATGTGAACCGTGTGTGTAAAGGTTTCAAAACTATGTTGCTTCTGCTACTACATTTGAACTTGGTGTTGTAATAACTATCTTTGCACTCCAATGTATGTTGAATTACTTATGAACTTTACGTAACATATGACATGTGGATGTTGAATCATGTACGATCTTGGTTTATATATGTCGGTGTCGGTGTTTCAAATCAACACCAACTATAAATTTATATCTGTGCGCGTTAGGCCCGGATGGTGCGCTAAAGGACATAAGGTTTATACTGGTTCGAGCTGAATGTCCCTACGTCCAGTCTGTTGCTGCTCGTGTTATTAGCATCAAAAATGGTTCGTAGTAGGGGTACAAACGGTCGAGAGAGGGACTGATCCCAAATCTCTGATAGAATGGTCAAAAGGATGCCAAGAACCCGGTAGCAGCTCGGCTGTGTGTGATGCGTGTTGTCGAGTCGTGTCGATCGGTCTCTCTGTGAGTTGATCCGTCCCTTTAGCGGGGTGCCCTGCCCTCCCTTTTATAGACAAAGGGAGCAGGGGGTTACATGTTGGAGAAAGGAGAAAAACCAGAGGCCAAGAAACCCCTCCGAAGGCGCTGGGTCTTCCTTTTCCTCTGAGCCAGCCTCCCTGACACAGCCAGACGGTGTCAGAGATGGCACGTTCGCTGGGCGTGCGTGCGTTGATGATGCCACGCTCTGCAAGTGGTCATGTCCCGTCCCGCCC